GGGGGGGGGGAGAATCACATTGTTTCACCAGCGATGAGTGCTTTCGTTACATTCGCTGAGCGCGATGGAAAGATGTCCTGCCACTTGAGAAAGCGCTCGGAGGATTTAAGCTTCGTTGTAAATTGCTTCCATGTTTTTGGTCACCCGAGAAAATCTGCATTTCTGTATACTTATTAACTAACCCGAATTTCTCCTTTGGGGGGGAAAGAAAGCCAGAGCAGAGTCCATAACCGACCACAAATGGGTCCGGGAAATCTGATAATGGCTTAAGAAAAGCAAGCTTTTTGACAATTTTTTATTCCCAGGGAAAACATTGAATTATACGGAGAACACTGATGTGGGCACCACTTCTTCCCTATATTGATCATTTGTCACCAAACTGATTGGTGGCTGCATTTTTTATTTAAGGCTGAGCGTGTTCAATTTTCAGTGGTAGTGTGGAGGTGTAGCAAATACAGGTTTCTGTGCTCCCTGCCAAAACCTAAAAGATAAGGGTATTCGTTTTCCAGGATAGAGATTTTGGTTTTTAAATTGAGTTCTTATGTGGCAAGATTACGCATTTACCTGTAAACTTGACTTGTGAGGGTACTTAGGGGAATCAGCTATACCCCAGTTAGAACAAGTCAGTGACCTCCACGTCTTCATGAGAAACTTTAGATTCATTTCTTGGCTTTGGATATTAACTCAGATTATTAATTACAGTTTTGATTTGTGAGCCTTGAAGTGAGTTTCTATTTTGAGGATGCTCATACTAAAGATTAAGAGCTGTTTCTGGCCACTGTTTCCCCTAAAAAAAAAAAAAAAAAAAAAAGGAGTTTGTATTGTGTGTTATTCTCTGAGCTGAGATCAGTTCTTTGCAGGTGTCCTTAGCTCCAGCAAGCTGATCCCATGTGGTCTACTTGTATTGGGCTTGTCACAATTACTTCCCCCTAGGCAAAGTTATCCAGTAAATTGCTGTAATTCCCAAAGATTTTGGGGGAGGAAGGCAGCTGTAAGTTCAGTCGTTGGCAGGCCTTACGGTGTTAGAAATTTGAAGCTCACTGTAGTATTTTGTTTTTTATGATCTTTGTCCTACTGATTGCCATGCGACTTACTTTCTGCACTCCCTTCTCTGTTCCATTTTTCTCCTCATCTGGACATCTGAGAACAGCGGGGAATGGTGAGGAAGAAATTCTGCCCCACTGTAACTTGCAGGTTTTTACCTACACCTGTGATGTGGGGAAGAGGGAGAATGTCTACCTGACGGCTGAAAGAGTCCGCAAGGAGGTTGGCGAGGTCTCGGTCCTGGTCAATAATGCTGGCGTGGTCTCTGGACATCACCTTCTAGAATGTCCTGATGAGCTCATTGAGAGAACCATGATGGTCAATTGCCATGCACACTTCTGGGTAAATATAAGCATCCTTGTTTTCATTGCTAGGCCCTTGTCAAGGATTGAGAAGGAGAGAGACTTCGGTGCCAGCCTGCAAGCCACCTGTACTCTTTCACCACAAGGTCTCCTTCTAATTAGCTATTCCCCCATGGTGAATTACAATGTATGCTGGTTATTATTAAATAGTTGTTTTCTTTTCCCCCAAATACAGTATTTCTTGAGAGGGTAGGGGATTGAACATTTTGAACTAGTTTGAAAGATGGCCATAAAAATAACAAGAGGGAGCATAAAACCCTGGGTTTGTTTATTTTACTTTCTGTTGAGTTTATAAAACATTGGTTGTTCTTATGAATTCCTAAAGTCAGGGTTTAGGCTTCCAAATTACTGCTCAGCCACATTTTAGAAAGTGCCAAAGATTCTGAGAATCAGCATTTGTGGTCCATGGGGAGTGGTCAGGCCACCCTGGCAGTCAGTTAACATCTGTTGATCATCCGCAGTGTCCAGGGCTCTGTCCTGTTGGAGGAGGTCTCAGGACTTTCTCAGGTTAGAAGGAAGTACCTTCTACCCAAATGAGAAAAGAAGTCACCCTGATAGAACCACATAGAGCTCGAGAGTTGTTGAGAGACCTGGTGAGCCGGGTATTTAAAGTGTCAATTTCTGACCATCAGAGCCACTGCAGCTTCTAGGGGTTAGAGGTAGGGCCATCTGCTACTTTAGGGGCAAGAAGAACCCCATTTTTCAGCTGAACTTTTCTTCAATAAAGGTAGGTGTGAAGTTCTCCCCTATAACTGTGTACACCGTTGACCCTCTCTTTGTTCTTCTTCCTCATGGTATCTCCCCTTTACTTTTGTAGACAGGATCCAATAAGGAAGGGGTAAAGAAAGAGGGTTTTTTTTTTTCCATAGGCGGATTAGCCTTCTAATAGAACATAACAAAGAACTGTTTCACCTAAATAGGTCACATTAAACCTCATTAATTTTTTAGCAACTGCTTAAAAACTTAATCTGGCTTTAGAAGTACTTATTCAAATGTTGCCCCTCCAACATCAAACCTTTTCTCTGATCTTGGAGAAAGAAGCTTATTTTAATGTTTCACTTTTAAACATGGGCTTTATTTAATTCACTCCCAAACCTCTAGAAATGAACATATAAAGACCTGAGATAGCTCATATCCTTGTTTTAAGTGAGTAAGGAGATCACCAAGTACAGTGTGGGGAACTTAAGCATGCCTGTGTGTGTGCAGTGGGACTGGGGGACTGAATTAAAGTCCTCGCTGTTGCTGGGTCCCTAAGAAAAGGCAGCAAGTGTCAAAGAGGGTGGGTTAGATAAGTAAAGGCCAATCCAACTGAATAAACTTGGCAGTAAAATTTATCAAGAATCTTGTATGTAATTACTTTTGAGGAAAATGACCATTTTAAATAAGAGACATACGTAAATTGCAGGCAGAGTGTAGTTTTCATATTTGAATATTAAGGAAGAAACTGCCATTAAAAACTCTGGTTGATTTTCATCGACCCATCAGCCTTAAACAGATACAGAGCTATCTATAGGTAGGCTAGTTATGAACCAGACACTGGGATGTTTTCTCTAATAACCTTTGACTGAACTGATTTTCTAATGATAGACTTTCACCTATACCAGGTGCTCTGAAGTTTAGCCATCTTGCCTTCTTTCTCTACATGATTATTTTGCTAAATTATTATACAACTTTAAATGTAAACAGATTTTTAAAGAAACCCCGTACAATCTGCAATTAAATGCTTAGGATAGGAAAGCAGCTCCAGGAAGACATTCAATAAAATAAGTGCTAATTTGGAGTGTGTTAATCACAGAAAATCCTTAGTCTTAGCTTAGAAAATGCACACAAATTTATATACTATACTTCTAACACTAGGATACTTTCTCACATAAGGAGAAAATCAAATCTCTAATAGAAAAATTATTCCAGAACCGAATCTGTATACCGAGAAGGAACATACCACCTTCCTAGATTCCTCACTGTGCTTTAAGATGTTGCTTAACCACACAATTTAGGGAGTTCTTGGAAGCCTTGACAGTAATGACGTCGCTTCA